TTTCAGACGAAATAAACTCCCTCGTCTGCACAATAGAGTTAGATCTAACCTTCTGAAATTATTTAATCCTCGCAATATATAACTTAACATATTCATTTACTAGTTAGTAAGAGATAGCTAGAACTCCTAAAAGCACAAAGCAAGTAGCATTCGAGCATCGAGTACACATAATCAAGCATATCACATTCAGGTCATTACTGTCTAATCTGTACTAGCATGTGGTTCATAAAGCTGAGATACACATAACAGGCACATAAGGCATCCTTCCTAGATCCTTAGTCCTAAACTAGCATGCAATTCTCATAAAGCTGATACACATATAATAGGCACATAAGGCATCCTTCCTAGATCCTTAGTCCTAAACTAGCATGCAATTCTCATAAAGCTGATACATATATAATAGGCACATAAGGCATCCTTCCTAGACCCTTAGTCCTAAACTAGCATGTAGTTCTCATAAACATATCATAACATAAACTTGTATGGGTAATTTGGGAGTACTTACTTGAGCTCGGTTGATTACATGCACCACACCCTTTTTCTCTTTTCAAAGTTCTTTTCTCTTTTAAAAATTCTTTTATAAAAATGATTTTCTTTTGAAAATTTTCATACCATGTCCTTAGTTTGAGTTCAGACACACCCGAGAGTGTGCCCGAATCCCTCAAACCAAGGCTCTAATACCAACTTGAAACATCCCACAAATACGGTCTAAAAATTTCATTTTTAAATTATTAATAAAACCATAAATATCATCATCATCATATAAAATCATAAACCATGTATCTCAAAATATCGTAATATCTGTCAACATAGCAAAATCTCATATCAAATATCAGAGTAAATCTTCCAGGCTAGAAAACTGTGGTGTGTGCCAAGCGATCATCCTGAGCTCTTCCCTTTGCTAGCTGAAGTACCTGAAACCAAACTGAAAACTGTAAGCACGAAGCTTAGTGAGCTCCCCCAAACTACCACATACCATACACATAACATATAACATGTAACATAAACTTTGGGACACCGCCCAACTGCATCGCGACGAACCCGACATCGGCTTACCTGACATCAGACTCCTGCCCGGCATCGGGCTCACCCCGGCATCAGACCACGTTTGGCATCGGGCTCACCCCGGCATCGGGCTTACCCAGGCACATACACAACATATCATATATTATAAACACATAACATAAGCATATAACATACATCGAGCTTACCCCGGCATCAGACCGAATCCCGAAACACATAACAGATAACATATAAACTAACATGCATCGGGCTTACCCTGAAACACATAACACATAACAGATACACTAACATACATCGAGCTTGCCCCGGAACACATAACACATAACATGCATGAATCACAAAGACATCAAGCATACATATACTCTTCTCCGGACCGCCCCGACATCGGACCGTAGTCCAAAACTACTAACAACTAAATGGGCCGACATTGTGGCCTTAGACCCGTTCCTACTGGAGGAAAACTCACCTCTCAAACTGAATGCTGAACTCACGTGTGAGGAATCTCTACTGGCTGCTCCCACGACTCCCCGACTAACTCTATACAACAATACTTAGTCAGACAAATTGAGAATCCTTCTAAGGGTAAAATGACCATTTTACCCCTGCTCTGATTTGGACCATAAACAAGGCCCAATCCCATCTAATCTTTCTAAGTCCACTAATGGCCCATTAAAGGCCCATTAATGGCCCGATTTTCTAAATTGGGCCCAACTTCTCAAATGGGCCTTCCGTAAGCCCAACCATGTCCTTAGTCCAAAATCTGACTTCTGATGGCCCACTAAGGCCCAATAGCTGATAAGTCCAATAGTTGGCCCAAACCGAGGCCCAAAAGATGAAAAGCCCAAGTCTGATGAGTACGTGAGGCGTACTCCTCTGTACGCAACGCGTACCTGCTGTGTGGCTTGTACGTTGCGCCTACTGGCTGGTACACCCATCGTACTACCCTGTGAAGCCACTTTTCTCATTAAGCACTTAATATTCTACTCTAGAGGCTACAATCACAGATCCAAGTCATCTTTAACGTCTTAATCCATAAAGTTGGTTACTTGGTGGCTTGCAACCCACCAAATGAACCCAACTTGGAAAATAGCAATAAACTTCCATGGAAATGGCTAGATCTCATGCATGGTCAATTGGTCACAAATGGACCTTAACTATTGAAACTTTACTGCTTAGGGAACTCATATGTCACTAAGGGTGGCAACCCTAGACCTAGAAACGAGTTTGAGTCATAAAGTTCCATTTTTGGGACTAAAAAGATCCAAAACATCTCTACTCTAGATCTAAGCATACATGAAGAAAGTTGGCAGCTTTATACCTCCTTTTGAGTGCCAAAAGATGAGATAATCCCATATCCTTGAGCTCAAGATACTCAAGTTCTTCTTCTCCAACTTCTCTTCTCTTCTTCCAAGCTCTTCTTCACCAAACTAAGCTTTAAAATGCCAAACACACACAAGAATGGAGTAAGAGAGGATATTTAGGGTTTCTGAGGGTGAGGGGTTGGTAAGGAGGCCAGGGTTGAGCTATAATGGGGTATTTATCTGTCTTAAACCCTAAAAATTAGGGTTTTGGAATCTGCTCACGTACGTTGCGCGTACTCCTGGTACGCTGCGCGTACGTGCATGCGTCCCCCGCATCCAATGCGCCTCTACTCCCCGCGTACACCAAGGCTACGCCCAACGTACGTCTTATGGGCGGCCCAAATCCTTGGCCCACTTGCTTAAGTCCACTCCAATAGTCCTTTTTATCCATATTTAGCCCAACAATAATTTAAGTAATATATAATAATTAATACCTCAAATGACGGTCGTTACATCCCACATCGGCTTGGAGGAGAACGAAACATTTCCTTATAAGGGGTGTGGATACCTTCCTTGTTACAATGCGTTTTAAAGCCGTGAGGGCAGCAGATCCCATAAAAACTCTGCAGTTAAGCGTGCTCGGGCAAGAACAATCCATGGATGGGTGACCCCTGGGAAGTTTCCGTGTCAGGAGCCCAAAGCGGACAATATTGTGATACGTGCCAGAGGTTGGATGTTACAGTAGAGGTAGAGTTGGAGGAAGGGAGAGAGGAAGTGGAAGTGGCCAATATAATTAAACCGCTCAAATTATTTAAACGGTAAAAGTTGTTAAAAAAACTAGAAGATACTTTTAATTTAAAAATTTTATGAGCGGATTGATTGGAAGATAATATAACAAAAATGGAGTAAATTATTAAAGTTGTGTGACAACTAAATAGGTTGAGAATTTAGGGGTGCGTATTATCTGTTTTTAACCGAAAACCACCCCAAACCGCACCTTAATGAGTTTTGGCGGGTTGGGGGTTTACCCGGTTATGGTTCGGTTTTTGTTTTTGGGTTGGATGACCATCTAATTCGGTTAGGCGGTTAGGCTTGTGGTTTTAACTCTTTTAATCGTAGCACTGACCAACTATTTTCACATGGGCATGTTACAGTTCACCCAAAGACATTGGGATTGTTACTATTTATTCGATAGTACAATATTGTAATCAATGACACAACGATACTATTTGTATTAATAAGACATTGGGATTGTTACTATTCATTCGATAGTACAATATTGTACCCAATGACACAATGGTACTATTTGTATTAATAAAAAAACGTGTATATACAAAGGGTGTGTATATGCACTTTTGTATTATGCACATATGCACTTATGGTTGTGCATATATACACCTTCTCAAAAATCATTTTTGAACAACAAAAGATACTAAAAATTTTCACAGATCAGTTAAATTGAATTTGTTTAATTTTATCCATCGACATCTGCCGAGTGCAAAATTCAATATGAGAGCTTGAATACTAAAGATAGTAGTGATGTTGACTTTGTTGTTATCTATGCTCATATTGTTTGGAGATTTTTATCTACAAACAGTTCTGTTTTTGGTGTGCATGAACCATGTATCTTAACAAATTTTGAACATGGGAATTCGGTGGAATTGAATTCCAATTTCCTCTAGTTCCCACGGAATTCCCACAGTGAACCAAACACCACCTTGCTCTCCTAATTATATTTGAATCTATTATTTCCTTACTAATTGAGATATGACGACTAAATGACTTTTAGCCCAGTGGTATCCGATGTTGTCATTCCTCCTTGAGGTCGAGGGTTCAAGTCCCGTGAGGGACATAGGTGGAGATTTAGAAGTAGTGTAGGAGTAGAATATATTGCCGTTCAAAAAAAAAATAAGAGTAATATTTCTTTTATTGAAATATCATGTATTGTAATATAAAGTGTGCTTAAATAATAGTAAGTTATTCCAGGCCTTATAGAACATTCTAGATAGAAAAGAAAACCATTTAATAACTATTTTTCTTTTTGATAAGTTGTTTTGTTAAATAAATTACTGATATGAGAAAAATAGTAAATTATTGTACGTGTCTAACGTTGTAGATGCTATTCCATACAACTTCTTTTGCTATATTGATTTGGTGTTTTTACCATAATTACATACAAAATAAATATTTTTATAATAGTTGGGTTAAGAAAGGTCTGACTTCGTCGTTTGTTAATGAGCCAAGAATATACCGGCTAAAATCTTAAATATTTAAAGGATTGCCGGTTTATTATCATTTTCTGTAAACAATTGTCAGTTTTTTTTTAATATATTTTCTGTTAAAAAAAGTGAAGTCAATTGCCCATAATATAGAGACTATGAGACATTTTTATTTTTATAAAGTAATAAATAAATCCTTCACAAACCGATACTAACAATTCCTAACAGAATTAGAAAACCTCCCTGAGAGCTTCGAGTACACGTTTTGCAGTTTCTTCGCCAAACAACCTTGGCAAGCTTGAACCCAGATCGATTTCAATGGTCTTGTTTTTGCTCATTTCATCTCTCTTTTTCAAATAAACCCTATCACTTTCACCCACTACTCTCTCCCCAAAAGCACAAACATCTAACCACGTTTTCAACACTTGTTTTGCAATCGGAGTGACATGAGTTTCAATCATTTCCTCCAGCTGTTCTGTTTCTATACGCACCAGGATTGCAGTGGGAGAGACAACTGAACGGATGTAAAGAGATGAAGAGAAGTAAGGTGTTACCTCTGAGAGCTTCTCGAGATGTTGTCTGTGTTGATCCAGTTGAGTGTCTTCATAGAATGTTTTGAGATAATCAGGGTTCAATACGAGTTCCTTTCTGTGAGGGAGATCGAGAATTAGAACCATTGATGTTGGAGTGCTTTGTATTAGCTCTACTAACAGGTTGGGTGCATCGGTTGATGAGTTTAGATAGGCTGACAGGCTTGTAATGTTCAAAGCTCCTCCTGATGGTAACTCACAGTGAAGCCAACTTCCCAATATGAAATCAATCTGGAACACATGACAAAATTTAATCCATCAATCAGAAACGAATTTCCGTAAATGTTATTGCATAACCCTAAGTAGATTCAAGCATCGATCATAAATTGATGAAAATTGGAGCTGAGAATTAGAACCCAAAGTTGATTCTGTTGGAAGTTTGGGAATTTGAAGTGTTGGTCTAGTTTGATCGAGTCAATAAGCATCTCACTCACTTGCTCCTGGTTGATCAGCAACATCAACGTCTTCTCTGTTTTTTTATACTTCAAACTTATTCCAACAGATTCAAAATTGGAATTGAGAATCAGAACCCTAAGTTGATTCAAGCATCGCATCGATCATTGATTACCATCAGCATTATTAACTTAAATAAAATCAGAAACGGAATGTAGAAGTGAAGAAAGTACCTGAGAGGATTGGACGCCTGATCTGAGATGGAGAGCAGCATGAGCTGTTCCGGTTTCATTCTGATAAGACTGTACATCAGGCGGGAGGCTGCAAGGATTAAGTAAAGAACCGAGCCGACTTTCGACGGTGGATACAAGATCTACCATAAGATCTTTGTGTGGGGCGGAGACGTACGGGAAGTCCATAAAACCAGTTCGGCCACCGTGTTGCGGTGGCGACGATAATGAGGCGCGGCAGGAGAAAGAGAATCGAGGTCTTTGTATGAAAGAGCAAGAAGTTTGTGAGGAAGGAGACGAGCATAACAATGAGGAAAAGGAGAAGGGAGCGACAATGGCTGCCATAGTCGCCATCTTTTTCCCGATCAGTAGTGGACTGTATAGAAGCGGATAAGAAAGTGACGACTACTATCAGACACGTGTTAGCTCACAGATGTAGTTTTTGCCTTTGAAACCATTTTTAAACTCTAGTTATTTACATTAAAAAAAATTATTCCTTTATTTTTGGTGAGAGAGAGATACAGAGTAAAAAAAGATGAGAAAGATAGTCTTGGGGCAAAATAATCCGCACCAACATCAACTGGTTTAACTCAAATCGGTTTCACTACCGGATCAGTTTCGGATCTCAAATCGGTTTCGAATCATAGTTCAGTTCTTTTGCCCATCTGCCATCATCGTGTGCCTTCATTCTCCAAGGTGGTGTTGTTTGGCATATTTTAATCACAAAAACAGTCACAAAATGGCAGCTTAAGATGGATTTGGGCTGCCAAATGGCCTTTAAATTGGGCTGAAATAAAACACATACATGAGCTCCTTCGAATTTTGATGTTGGGCACGATGCCCATAAGGTGCATCAAACATTTTCCAAATCCTTCCATCGTTTATATTAAAGGTATACTGACTTATGAAGACACCAATACAATTTCATCTCAATCATCAGACCAGGCTTGTCTTTCGATCTAGTCACTTGATTAAGACCGCACAGTGCTACCAAAACTCATTATATCGCTTCGCTTTTGTTTAGTAGATGATCACTCTATTTGCATAAATTTGTTAGCTAGTGGTTTATGAACATTGAATTGCTAGATCTAGTTATTGATCCAATTCTAGAGTTAGGTGATATAAGTTAGTAACTTTGATTGTGTTAAAGAGCATAATTAATCCATAATTTGTGATAACTGTTTGTCTTGATCCTAGATAGGTAGCTCATAGATTTATCATATATAACCAAATTTATCTTTATATCAATTTCGTGTCTACTTGTGTTTGAACATTACATGGTAATTCATAAATTGGTAAAAACTAGGAAATTGAACATAATAATTAGTTACATTATAATTTGGTAACCAGCATAATTATTTTACTAGAAATCAACCATTGGAAAATGAGGGATTCAGAACTAAACAAGAGTACTCTTTAATCTTGAATTCAAATAGTTTCTTTTCGTGTTTTTAGTTGTTTAATTGTTATTTGTTTGATTTAAGTTGCTGGTCTTGCAAAATCAATAAAAACCCTCACTTTAAGATTGTTTTTCTTAGTTTAAGTTTTAGTAGTTATTTTATTAGCTAAATATCGTTCTCTGTGATCGATACCCGACTTACTTTTCTATACTACAATATGACTAGGTACACTGTCTATGTGCATTAGTTAGTTAAGTTTTGTTAGGTTGTAAATTTAAAACTGGTAGGTATAATTTGTGCACATCAGTAGGCATACACAAGAAAGAAGTTACTCAAATATACATACTTAATATTCCAATGGATTTGCATGAGTATGTAGAAACATCATCAACAAAGTGAAGTATGTCTCGATAATCACTTCTTAATTCATCAACCTTGCAACCTCATTATCACTAATATAAATAAAACTTTAAAGATAAACATACTCACAACCAACTGTTTTTGCGATTCATACACAATAATTGAGATAACCATATGAAGGAAGAAATTACCTACTTGATTTGTTATGGTTGGAAAGTAATCATAACTACGTGTTTATAGTGTTTGGATATAGAACACATGAAGTAACCATTTTAGGGAAGAAATTTTGTACTTAACTGCTTTTGGATCCTTATTGTTTTCCATAGGATTGATAACCACAAGTCGATCAATTTCTCCTATATTGGTCGATTTACGTGGAAATCATATCCAACTCTAATAACACCATCGACAACGAACGATGTTACCATATTTGGCACTACAATGCTAACATCTATCAGACGGATGACATCATTGTCGTGAATTAGTTGGAAAACATATTTTTTAAGAAGGTTCGAAAGATATTTGTGTCTTATTAACTGCTAACATAGCTTTCTAGTAATCACCAAATCAGTTATATCAATGCGAATATCTTCCATAAGCACCAATAATTACGTCATGTACTCCATAATGTCATTGATTCTCTCCAACGACCCTCCACAATGAAAAAAACACCCTTAATAGATAAATGCATTTTGATCAAGGAAAATGTGTTAAAAACTTATTGGAAATGACGACTACAATGTGGTTTAAAGATTGAAGAAATGTAATATTATATAAAACACTATATCTTCCGGCAACATAATAAAATTTCACAATGTCTATTTTAAAACCTAATAACACACCAAGAGAAGATATATGTCGAAGATTTTTTTTAAAGTTTATTTCATGCCTCATTATCAATGCTTTAATTAAAAAAATTAACTATAAAAGTATACTAGATTATGACCCGCGTTAAACACGGGAAACATAAATTAAATACATATTACATTAACAGGTGGCATTGTCTTAGGTGAAATTTTTAATAAAAAATGTTAGTTAGATTTATTTTCAGAGTTTTTGAACCAAACTTATTGGTGGTTGTCGAGGCCAACAAAATTAATAACCCTAATTATTACACACTAAAATAGTGTATAGTGGTAAAGGGATCGAATCCACGGGGATTGGTTCAATTTAATAACTCTATGAAAAATCTCTTTGTAAAAATACTTGGAAAATGACAATAAATTAAAACTGGGGGTTTTGGTGTTTTGAAATACTTGAAACAAACTAGAATTAACTAAGATTTAAATAGACAATTTCAGCAAGAATAAGAGTTTGATGTAAAATCAATAAGAGAATGATGGTTGACTTAAGGTTCCTCACTTTGACTTTTGATGAACATATCATTAGAATCAAATGGTGCAATACTTGTTTTAAACCCTTAATTTGGCTATAGTAATCCAAGGAGCTTGAGATTACCTAGACTTTTCTTAATTGTTGAAATGGTTAGAGAAGCTCATAACAATTTCCTTAGTTAAAGTCACTAATTCCATTAAGCATGTAATTAGTGAAAGTCAACTAGCATTAAGAACCAAAAAAAATCACCAAATCCAAGAGGGGTCAAATGCTTTCACCACCATGTTGGAGAAAATGTTTTTATGATTGTGTGAAGTAAAACTAACACAAGAATCACTTGTTGCTTGCTAATTTGAAGATCCTTTACTTAATCAAGAAATTAGCCAACTAATCACCACAAACACATTTAAACTCATGAATAAAAACATGCAAGTAATGATAAGATGTTAAAACACAAAACATTTTCATAAAGATTCAAACACAAATTCATGGATTCTTCAATATTCAACAAAAGTTCAAAGGATTCAACAAAAGTCAACCAAGATTAGTTTAGCCAAGCATGACTAAACTCAAGGAAACAAAGTTAGTTAAGATTGTACCAAACATTTAGCAAGAATTAAGAGATGAAATGGTGAAGTTCTTGAGGGTTCTTGGCCTTCAAAAATGCTCCAAACTCCAGAGAGAAAGTATCAAAATCGGACCTCCAAGATTATGCTAAAGAGGCACACCAACCTTCCCAATATAGAGCTCTAAGTAAAATCCCGAAATTGCCCTTGTCAGGAATCCACGCGGGCCGCGGGGAATCTTACGCGGGCCGCGTGACTTCGACGGAAATTTTTGGGCTTCTTCAAGTCTTGGGCCCCCACAGCTAATCCATTGGCCCAGTTCGAATCCAATCTGCTTCTAGCCCATTTCTCTTCAATATTTCTTCAATTTGAGCCCAATTTGTCTCTCCACATCACTCAAAACTTCCGCAAATTCCTAAACATCGATCTTGCACACTCAAGAATTCTCCCGTGGCTTTCAAATTTAAAGTTTAATTCTTCCAACCCTTCAAATAATTGACAATCCCACTCCATGCATCACCTCTATAGCCATCAAGCCTAAAATCCTCGTTGTCCTCCAAGTCCAATTGCTTTCCAAAAGATCCCGCTCCGCTAGTCTCCTTAAAATCTGTAATTAAGCTCACAAAACTCGAAAGAACCCGAAAGTGGTCATAAAATAACAAAAAGGAAAATATGCATGGAAATTATCTAAATTGTGAATGAAATATGCTAAAATAAACTATAAAAAGAAGTAAATAAAATGAAGCTATCAAATCACCCCAAGCTTAAACCTTACTTGTCCTCAAGTAAGACAAGACTAAAATGAACTCGGGATGAACTATCCTAGGGAAAATAAAAAGAATGGATAGAACCGCGGAACCTGATCACCGTTAGTCAACATGGTCAGAATTGATCTTGCTATTACCTCACGAATTTTTCATCCGATGACAATGGGACCATAAACCACAGCCAGGACAACTCCTTTAGGTGAGTAAGGAGGGATGAGCAGTCGCAGCCCAATGGAACATGCATACAATGAAGAACATCTGTAGTAGGGAGAAAGCAGTTGGATGGGCTCGTGTGGAGCTCTTCTTTTAAGTGTACACTCTGATCTCACGTCTGTCGGCTACTCTCATGTGTAATTGGGTTTAATCGCTCGGGCACCGTTGTAGGAATCGATTCACTTAGTGTTGGCCCAAACCTCCTGTAGTATCCGACTCGACAGTCTCCCTAACATCACCAATTTGCGAAAAAAAAAAACAACTCGATCTATATACAATAAAACAACTCTAAATAAATGAATATCAAACGCCGGGTGACCAAAATGTAGGAAAATTTGTTCAATAATTGAACCGGTCACCTATCTACGATTATTGCAGCTTGAATTTATTTTATTTATTTATTTATTTTTTTTTAAAACACAAAACATTTTGACTCAAAATTTGGTTCCCAAGAGTATGTAAGTGGAACCGAGAGGGTAATAATATAATCCGAATGGTCTAAGTGTGAAAATGACCATGTGTGGAGCATAAAGATGTAATGTAAGCTCCTTTTCAAACTTGCAATTTTTCAAAAATAATGAAAATGTCCATATGCGGACTAAAAGACTCTCTAAGATCCTAAGAAAATCGCAAAAAGATATGGTGATGTAAAGAGACCGGATATGGATTCTACTCGGGGACAAGCACCAGTGCTTCATCTTAACGGTTCAAACATGATCAAGTGTGATCCTCTCAGCGGTAGTGACCGCAAGGCTAAGAACATCCATTGCTATAGTATATCCTACAGTTGTTAGT